ATATAATGAAAAAAAGATAACAATATTTTACAACACATCAAAAATAAACAAAAAAGACCTATATGAACTGATCATAATGATATATACTATGTTAATAAACATCAATTACATAATATAACTTGTATTTTATATGAACTATTAAGCTTAAAATATACTGATTCAAATACTTGTCTACCACTTGGTTATTCTCTATATAAAATTAATTTATGACTTGACCATTGGATACTTTATAGTTATTCTACAAACAACATTTTATACTATCAAATCTAGATGAGTTTTAACCACTCTAATAGGTTTAGGTTGCAAATAAATTAGACAAATAACATTAGTTCTTTCTATAGTTTGAGCTTTATTCTTGTAACAAATTTGGAATTGGAATAGATATTGTAATTTATATCCAAAGAAACTCTAAAAAAAAATTATAATTAAGTTCATAATTATAAATATACTAAGTGTGCATGAACACATATTTAAGCCAAATAAACGTGACAGTTTGCATTAAATCTCAATAATTTTAACTAATTTTAAGTGTATATTTAAAAAATTCGTCATGAATGTAGTTGTGTGTTATATTTACATTAAATTGATGCGATCTGTCAAGTAAATCAAGGCTATATATTTTATCATATAAAAATTTTTATAGCATAATATTATTATTGATTTTATTTAACACAATGTTATTGGTATTTTATTAGCGATAATTATTTATTGAGTGCAACTAAATATTAAAAGCTCAAATTTGAATAGATCGATAAAGGTTTCTACAATGCGCCAAATTTAATAATGAATTAAAAAAAAATTAACATTAGTTCAATTTTCGTTTAAATAAATTAAGTTATAAAATGAATTCGTTTTTTCATGCGCAATATAAAATGATGCCGTGATTTTTTTTTTGGGATAAAAAATATTTTGGTAAACTTAATATTAGTGACCACAAATAATTTTAATTTAATTTGTTGACAGACCATCCTAAGGTTATTACTCTTAGCGTTCTTATGGGTGATTTTGATTGGTGATGTTTTTGTTGGTTCCGAAGTAGTTGTTTAGATCCGGTGAATCACGTGTTCGGAAAATGATGTATCTGTCCTGCAAAGATCGTGGTCCGGACCGGTCTTTTGCACCAGTAAAACCGGTTTTCGGTCCTAAATTGAGGATCGGGTCCATAGCTTGTAGAATGATCTCATTGACTAAAAAAAAAAGAAAAAAATTTCCGATGAACGAATCTATAAGTTTCTAAATAATTCATTAACTTATTGATTTTTTCTCGATTCGTTCATTGGCAATTTTTTTCGATGATCTAAACTGTGATCTTTGAATGCTTATATGCGCATGATTACTCATGTATTATCGTTATGATCCAAGACCTGTTCGATCTTTTTTGGCAAGATAATTTTAACATCCTTACCCAGACTGTAAGTCAAAAATATGAAATGAACGATAGACACCGAATTTTAGATAAATTTTAAATATAAAAATGAAAATGACAATTTTATGCTAAATGATGATACAACCAAAATCGGTATAAAATTTGTAATGAGTTTTTAAAAGTTCATACTTGACAATGCTAACATTGATTAATTTGTCTTTTTTATACGTAGTGGACATTAAAAACCACATAGCCTACTTTGCAAACCGGCCAATAGATTGTGCTATGGATCGGTTAATAGACCGGTCTTGGACTATGGTCAAGTCCACGGTCCTTTGCTAGGACAGGTCTTTAGAGCCAAGACCGGACAGGAACGGACCGTTACATCCCTAGCGATGTGTGGTGGTACAAGTCTAAATAAATTTTTAGGATCATATATAACATGCACGAACAGAAAGATTCAAAGTAAACGTTCGTTTTGTATAATAAAAAATTTTCCAAAATGATTCACCATCTTGCTAATTCTAACTTAAATACGAGTTTTAAAGACTTTTGCAAAAATTCTTTAAAGCTTGTTTCGTCAGGGTTAGGGTCAAGTTTAGGAATTAGAAGGAAGTAGTTTATACAGTAAAATTGCCCAACAAAAACTTTTTTTAGGGCATTAAAGATGCTGATTTTTTTAGAAATAAGTTTGTTTCGAATTTTCTCGATCGTGTTTACAGCAAAGACAGTGCTCAAAGTGAATCCTTCTTGCCTGTGATCAATTACTAATTAAATTATTTATGTGGATTCAATTGTGATGGATTTAATCCTCACCAGTTTTAATATGTGTAACATTAACGGTCTCTGCTGTAGATCGTGTTAAGTTCACTTGATCTTGAAATCTGATTCGTATTTAGAAAATATGCAGGCACACCAAGATGTGTACGAATTTTGGTAACCTGGCACACATCTCATGCTGCAAATATATACACAACGGTTACGTAATTGCATCGCAGATTTAAAATATCTCTTCATTTCTCATAGGTTACTCAGCACGCCACCTTAGAGATAATTGTGTGTTACCTGTTATCCCCCGCTCGTTCATTATATTACTTTTATTATATAGGTAACCATTTATCTTTTTATAAATATTATTGGACAATGCTTTGAAATAGTAATGTCGCAAATTCAAGTATAGTTCGATATATATTGCTAACTTTATTTAAATTTTGGTCATGACTTTCAAGAACTCAGATTGCAGTACTCTAAATTACGATTACAAAAAAAATTATAGTTTGAAATACGTACACACTTATAATATTTATGTCGCGATTTATCTAAAGTAACCACTTTATATGTCTAAAGTAGTGCCCTGGCTAAAATTATAACCTAACGCATGCATGAAGATCTAATTTCAGGGGCTTAATTTTAGCCAGGCGCTACTTTAGGTAAATCGCCACTTCAGATGCAACATATCGATATATATGTAAAATAAATCAGCATTCGTACTGTAATACGTATGCTCGTACAAATTCGGGAAAATCAAGATATAGCCTGCTACACATAGGTATAAAAGCCCCATATGCAAATTAGAGTTCAATCAAAAGCACATATTTATACATATCTTGCAAACCCTGTTTTGTAAGCACGATGCACAAATATGGGACACTAATAAAGGTTATTGCAGTTTTTTGATAACCTTTTCTAGTATCGTTCGGGATGTTACAAAAAGTCACAAGGATTTTTATCCAATTAGACGCCCAGAATTTCCAACTTGCCAGTAAATCATACTCTTCGTACTTCGTACTCCGTTCCTGGTATCATTTTAACAGGCTACGGTCAGAATCGCGTTGGGCTCAATGGATGCTCTCAATGATAGAATGTAAAGATACCGATAGATGATATTAAAGACGTTATTCATTGATAATACATCAGAAAATACCCTGGCATAGATAATTGCCGTATTAATAATATATGGGCTTACCTGCCGAATTACAAAATGCATATTAATTTGTCAATACCTGATATATATGGAAAAATAAAATACATGTCTAAATTAGGTATATATAAATGTAAATTATAAATGGTAAACAGGGTCAACCCGTTAAAACGACAAGCCCCATATTAATGCAAATATAAATTAAGCGATAACGAAACCGGATAGTTCAACAGAAAGGAAAACAATGATATTTGCGCAACACAGTCATGCGAAACCAGGAACTGGAGACGTGTGTATCGGTATTGCATTTAGTAAATACATAGGTTGTACACTATTAGGCATGCGATGTATATGGATGTTGAGCTACCCCAGTGAGACCATGAAAGATCGTCGTATATGCACCAATCAGATCTTTTCGAATAATCAAAACAACTTTAATATGCGTAATATTTTAAAGTACTAAAACCTCATGTTAGGGTTGGTATAGGGATTACAATATGCATGTTCTATACCAAAATTTCTCGTGGAATTTTTTTATTAGAGCGCAGAAAGTGGTTTCATAGTCAAAAATTTTTAGTTATCGTCTGTTTTTAAAAAAAAGCGTGATTTTCATGTTACACCTGATCTAATGATCGAGACGATCATTCAAAAAAATTCGATTGGTGCATATGTTCTGCGTCATTTCACAATTTAGGTCGATTCCAAATTGACCTAAGTCATTTTTAAATTTTGAAACGATGTATGTTATTTCTCAATCGGTGAGAACAAATTTATACAACTGATAATAAAGTATTAATTAATTGCATCATAAACATTCCTTTGCATAGTTATAAAAAATTACATAGAATTTTACACATAAATTAAAAAATATAATATTTAAATGTGTATTAATAAAAAAAAAAAGTACAATAAAAATATATATAAAAAACCTACATAATTAAAAATTAAACAAATCTAAAAAAGAATCTTATCTCTTTTTACATTTATCACATAAAACACATTCACATCATCATGTACACAATGAATTATTTTTTCGGCAAGAACAAGTAGTAGAAAAGCAGTTAATTTTTTGACAGCAACAATTTGAATATTTATTTTGAGGTGTCTTTTTTGGTTGATTATTTCTAAATACATAATATAATTAATTTATTAGTTATCATTATATATTGCATAATAAATTATTACTTATTTAATAAAGAAATCATTATTGTCATTATTTTGGTTTGAGAATAGTTTATTGTTTTGTTTAAAACTTGGTTGTTTTAATGAAATATTTTTATTTAGAAGAACCACATTAAGAGAGGAGTAATCAGAAGTTCCAAGTGGTTCAAATTCGCTTGCTGGATACTAATGTTCAAGTATCTCATATTGGCAAGCAACTTGATATGAGTCAATATTAGTTTTTCTTTGAAGTATTTTACAGGATAAGAATCTTTGATTCATTTTATTCTTATCAATATCTGGTATATGAATTTTTATAAAATCACCAGACTCAAATGTTCTATTATATTTAACCTTATATGTTTCTTCCATTCTCTTTCATATAAGTTCCCGGTTTTTTTTTATGTTTAAAATTGCTAATTATCAAATTGTTTTATGCTTTTTAAATGATGAAAGGGTCAAATTTGGCTGTAAAAAAAATTTTATTGTCAATAATTAATTTTTTTATTTTATTTATTTATTTTTTATTTTTTATTTGTTTATTTATTATTATTAATACAGTAATTTAAATAACCTTAATTTCTTCAAATTGAGCTCACCACTTTTTTTTTGTAAAGTGTAATATCGATTTTCACTTGAATTATCATCAGAATCGATTATTTTAATAATTTCTGGAACTGTATTCTTAGAATACTCTCCAATTTCGAAATCATCATCTGAATTGATAATTTTAGTAATTCTCTATTTTAGTGTATTTTTAAAACCCTTTTTAATTTCAGAACAATATAATGATAATAAATCATTATAAATTTCTTGTGTACTATTATCATCAATATCTTGTATACTATTATTGTCGCTATATATTTTATTTGCATTATAGATATCATGTGTTTTATTAACATTTACATCACTATAATTTTCTTGATCTTGTTCTATATCACTTGAAAATTCTGATTCTATTTTTCACTGCTAATTTTAGAAATAATAGTTGATTGGAAGTCTTCAGATATTAAAGCATGATCATTTAATAACTCTTTACTTTCTAATATATCAACTAAATTAGTATCGCAATGAGAAAGTTATCCAAATACTAATTCATAAAAAATTGATTTATGTGTAGAACAATACTGAGTATTCATGGCTTCTAAATAATTTTAATATTTAATTTTAATTAAGTTAGTATAATAAATAAAATAATAATAATATATAAAATAATAAAAATTAAAAATAAAAAAAATAATAAATAAATAAATAAATAAATAATAATAACAAATAATAAATAATAATAAATAAAAAAATAAAAAAAATGTAACTACATAAATAATAAAAAAATAAAAAAAAATTAATAAAAAATTAAATAAAAAAAATTAAATAAAAAAAATTAAATAAAAAAAATTAAATAAAAAAATTTAAATCAAAAAAATAAATAATAAAAAAATTAAATAAAAATAATTAAATAAAAAGAATAAAAAATTGTATAATGTATTTTGTATATATCATTTATTAGGTCAATAAAATTAAAGCTAATATAAAAATATAATAAAAAATGTATTTCCTGTAAATTAAGATTTTATATAAGGGTATCTACATTCTAATAGCACTAATAAAATTTAAAAAAAAAATAAAATAAAAAAAATAAAAAAAAATAAGCAAAAATTCAAAAAAAATAAACCAAAAAAAAAACAAAAAAAAAAAAACATACAAATAACAAATTTTAATCCTATACTCCAGTCAGTTCAGCCTGTCTTCTCCATCCAGGATTTTAATTTTGATTGAAGAATACCATTTCCTTTTTCTACTAATCTTTGACAGCATGGGTTTCTTGGTCTACCATTTACCAATTTAATAGTTGGCCAAAAACTTAAAGTCTCTTTAATAATTCTTCCAACAAACTCACCACTATTATTAGAATATAATACAATAAGAGGACCATATATTATACAGAAGTTAAGTAAATATGCTGCTGCTTTTTCTGCTAACTTAGATAAAGAGAGTTCTGCATATGAAAGTCTTGAAAAATGATCACTGATATAAAAAATGTATTTATACATTCTATCAGATATTGATGTCAAATCAATAATATCTATCTACAAATAAATATTTTATAAAAAAAAAAAAATAAAAAAATATGCTATCACTTTTATCTGAATATGTTGCAAAAATCCTTTTGAAATAATTGGTTGAATAGGTGGAATTTTTATAAAGGCACATTTTGTAATGCAAACTCTGCATTCATAAATAGCATTATCAACTATCTTTTGTGAAATAAAACAATACTGCATATGAATCTTATTATATTATTAAAAAAATAAGTATAATAATAATAATAATAATAATAATAATAATAATAATAATAATAAAAACTTTTTGCCAGGTTTTGTCTTGACTAGCATGCTCCATTACTTGATATGCACCACAAATTATTTCATAAAAATTTTCAATAGGACAAACTTGTATTCTCAGATTATTTCTGCTTGACTTAATGATATAAAGTTCTTTACTCATACCAACATAAAGAATTTTAAAATTATGAGTCACCCAAAATTTAAAATTTGGGTTTTGTAAATCATTTGGATTTTTAAACACATTTAAATATTGATTATATTTATTTCAATCCATTAAACTACATTTGTTTTTCCTTTAATAAACAAAAGTTTCTAATATTTGGTCAAAGATTTCACATACCAGAAAGTTGTATCATTCTATTTTTAAAAATTAATATTGAAATTAAGAAAGACAGAAAAATTTTTTTTTTTTTTTTTTTGGTATTAAGGTGACCTCTTTGGTCTTTTGACTTTTATTAATCACTTGTCAGCATTGTGGT